AATTTTACAATAGTAATTAGCAACATGTGAAGCTGAAGACAACCTTATGTCCCCCGAAATATGAGAAATTGTCCGAAGTAGACCCAGAATTTATTGCCAAATAAATCTCGTTCTGAGTTCGAAAAACAGTGTGTTTCATTTTTTTGACGTCGATTTTGTTGGTTATTTAATAGTGACATTTGTGATGATTACAAATTTTAGATTTTAGAGCACGAATTCCAAAATTGGAAAACGTATCGTCAAACGAGGTTTCTAAGGGATGAGCGTTCTAAAATTTCTTGTAATTTTTTTCTTTAATTTTTTAATAAAAATTGAAATTTTTAAAATTTGGGGAATTTTGTCGTGGTTGGTACTGGTACGACGAATGTCATATTGTAGGATTTGAAGTTTAAATTTTTACAATAGTAATTAGCAACATGTGAAGCTGAAGACAACCTTATGTCCCCCGAAATATGAGAAATTGTTCAAAGTAGACCCAGAATAAATTGGCAAATAAATCTCGTTTTGAGTACGAAAAACAGTGTGTTTAATTTTTTTGATTTCTATTATGTTGGTTATTTAATAGTAACATTTGTACTGATTACAAATTTTAGATTTTAAAGCATTAATCCTAAAATTGGAAAACGTGTCATCAAACAAGTTTTCTGAGGGATGAGCGCTGTTAAATATCTTGTGCTTTTTTTTCATTTTTAAATAAAAATTGGCATTTTTAAAATTTGGGAAATTTTGTCGTGGTTGGTACGACAAACGTCATATTGTACCATCTGAAATTTAAATTTTCACGATAGTAATTAGACAACTTGTGAAACTGAAGACAATTTTATGTCCCTCGAAATATTGGAAATTGTCCAAAGTAGACCCAAAATTTATTGCCGAATAAATTTAGTTCTGCGTACGAAGAAAATTTTTCACCTTTTTGACATTTATTTTATTATTTTTTTGACAACAACCTTTGTATTGTAAGTCCTAGATTTTTAAGCATGAATCTCAAAATCAAAAATCGCGTCGTCAAACAAATTTTCTGAGAGATGAGCGCTGTAAATTATCTTCTATTTTTTTTTTCATTTTTAAATAAAAATTGTAATTTTTAGAATCTGGGGAATTTTGTCGTAGTTGGTACGACAAATGTCATATTGTAACATTTGAAGTCTAAATTTTCACAATAATAATTAACAATGTTTGAAACTGGAGACGATCTTATGCCCTCCGAAATATAGCAAATTGTTCAAAGTAGACCCAGAATTGATTTCCAAATAAATCTCGTTCTGAGTACGAAAAACAGTGTGTTTAATTTTTTTGATTTCTATTATGTTGGTTATTTAATAGTAACATTTGTACTGATTACAAATTTTAGATTTTAAAGCATTAATCCCAAAATTGGAAAACGTGTCATCAAACAAGATTTCTGAGGGATGAGCGCTGTAAAATATCTTGTGCTTTTTTTTTTATTTTTAAATAAAAATTGGAACTTTTAAAATTTGGGGAATTTTGTCGTGGTTAGTACGACAAACGTCATATTGTACCATTTGAAATTTAAATTTTCACAATAGTAATTAAACAACTTGTGAAACTGAAGACAATCTTTATGTCCCTCGAAATATTCCTATTGTCCAAAGTAGATCCAAAATTTATTGCCGAATAAATTTAGTTCTGCGTACGAAGAAAATTTTTCACCTTTTTGACATTTATTTTATTATTTTTTTGACAACAACATTTCTATTGTAAGTCCTAGGGCCGGTTGCATAAAGGCAAATCAAATTTAATCTCTGATTAACTCCATAGTAACGATTGTTATTATCATAGTTACAATTGTTCTTAATCAGAGATTAAATTTGATTTGCGTTTATGCAACCGGCCCCTAGATTTTTAAGCATGAATCTCAAAATCAAAAATCGCGTCGTCAAACAAATTTTCTGAGAGATGAGCGCTGTAAATTATCTTCTATTTTTTTTTTTCATTTTTAAATAAAAATTGGAATTTTTAAAGCCTGGGGAATTTTGTCGTAGTTGGTACGACAAATGTCATATTGTAACATTTGAAGTCTAAATTTTCACAATAATAATTAACAATGTTTGAAACTGGAGACAATCTTATGCCCTCCGAAATATAGCAAATTGTTCAAAGTAGACCCAGAATTGATTTCCAAATAAATCTCTTTCTAAGTACGAAAAACAGTGTGTTTAATTTTTTTGACTCCTATTATGTTGGTTATTTAATAGTGACATTTGTACTGATTACAATTTTTAGATTTTAAAGCATTAATCCCAAAATTGGAAAACGTGTCATCAAACGAGTTTTCTGAGGGATGAGCGCTGTAAAATATCTTGTGCTTTTTTTTTAATTTTTAAATAAAAATTGGAATTTTTAAAATTTGGGGAATTTTGTCTTGGTTGGTACTACAAACGTCATATTGTACCATTTGAAATTCAAATTTTCACAATAGTAATTAGACCACTTGTGAAACTGAAGACAATTTTATGTCCCTCGAAATATTAGTGTTGTCCAAAGTAGATCCAAAATTTATTGCCGAATAAATTTAGTTCTGCGTACGAAGAAAATTTTTCACCTTTTTGACATTTATTTTATTATTTTTTGACAACAACATTTGTATTGTAAGTCCTAGATTTTTAAGCATGAATCTCAAAATCAAAAATCGCGTCGTCAAACAAATTTTCAGAGAGATGAGCGCTGTAAATTATCTTCTATTTTTTTTTTTCATTTTTAAATAAAAATTGGAATTTTTAAAATCTGGGGAATTTTGTCGTAGTTGGTACGACAAATGTCATATTGTAACATTTGAAGTCTAAATTTTTACAATAATAATTAACAATGTTTGAAACTGGAGACAATCTTATGCCCTCCGAAATATAGGAAATTGTTCAAAGTAGACCCAGAATTGATTTCCAAATAAATCTCGTTCTGAGTACGAAAAACAGTGTGTTTAATTTTTTTGATTTCTATTATGTTGGTTATTTAATAGTAACATTTGTACTTATTACAAATTTTAGATTTTAAAGCATTAATCCCAAAATTGGAAAACGTGTCATCAAACAAGTTTTCGGAGGGATGAGCGCCGTAAAATATCTTGTGCTTTTTTTTCCATTTTTAAATAAAAATTGGAACTTTTAAAATTTGGAGAATTTTGTCGTGGTTGGTATGACAAACGTCATATTGTGCCATTTGAAATTTAAATTTTCACAATAGTAATTAGACAACTTGTGAAACTGAAGACAATTTTATGTCCCTCGAAATATTCCTATTGTCCAAAGTAGACCCAAAATTTTTTGCCGAATAAATTTAGTTCTGCGTACGAAGAAAATTTTTCACCTTTTTGACATTTATTTTATTATTTTTTTGACAACAACATTTGTATTGTAAGTCCTAGATTTTTAAGCATGAATCTCAAAATCAAAAATCGCGTCGTCAAACAAATTTTCTGAGAGATGAGCGCTGTAAATTATCTTGTATTTTTTTTTTCATTTTTAAATAAAAATTGTAATTTTTAGAATCTGGGAAATTTTGTCGTAGTTGGTACGACAAATGTCATATTGTAACATTTGAAGTCTAAATTTTCACAATAATAATTAACAATGTTTGAAACTGGAGACAATCTTATGCCCTCCGAAATATAGCAAATTGTTCAAAGTAGACCCAGAATTGATTTCCAAATAAATCTCGTTCTGAGTACGAAAAACAGTGTGTTTAATTTTTTTGATTTCTATTATGTTGGTTATTTAATAGTAACAGTTGTACTGATTACAAATTTTAGATTTTAAAGCATTAATCTCAAAATTGGAAAACGTGTCATCAAACAAGTTTTCTGAGGGATGAGCGCTGTAAAATATCTTGTGCTTTTTTTTTCATTTTTAAATAAAAATTCGAATTTTTAAAATTTGGGGAATTTTATCGTGGTTGGTACGACAAACGTCATATTGTACCATTTGAAATTTAAATTTTCACAATAGTAATTAGACAACTTGTGAAACTGAAGACAATTTTATGTCCCTCGAAATATTCCTATTGTCCAAAGTAGACGCAAAATTTATTGCCGAATAAATTTAGTTCTGCGTACGAAGAAAATTTTTCATTTTTTTGACATTTATTTTATTATTTTTTTGACAACAACATTTGTATTGTAAGTCCTAGATTTTTAAGCATGAATCTCAAAATCAAAAATCGCGTCGTCAAACAAATTTTCTGAGACATGAGCGCTGTAAATTATCTTCTATTTTTTTTTCCTTTTTAAATAAAAAGTTTTATTTTTTTAAATTTGGTTAATTTTGTCATGGTTGGTACGACAAATGTCAGATTGTAAAATTTTCGCAATAATAATTAATAACGTGTGAATATGAAAATGATATTCTATATATTCATTCTTTTGACGTTAATTCCAATTGTCATTTGACAGTGACATTTGTGCTGACTACCAACCTTGACAAACGTATTTTCACTTTGAGAAATTTGACTTACCACTATCCTAATAACCATGATTCTCCCTCACCGCCTCACTTCCCGTTTACCCACCCATCACAGCGCCGCCACCGCGTTCCTGCGATAATCACCCGCACCCATAACTGCAATTCTAGTCTGAACCCCTCGACTCTACGTCGTGTCAAACGAAAAACAAAAATTCCGCCGTGTTTACCGTCGACGTGTAAATACGGCGACACGGAACGTCATTAATAAATCATGGGGATCACCTGGGCGGCGACGGGGCTGCGGATTGCCGCCCCCTCGCGAAGACCTGTCGGAAATTGTAAATTCAATTCCTTCGGCAAACCCTGACGAATTAACGGCAGCTTTTCGCTCGGCCCGCAATAAAATCAATTAAAGTTTTGATTGGTTCGCGAAGCGTTCCAATTTTCCTCGGGGTAGATTTGTTGCATTCGTAATGAGCTCGCGATTGTTCCTGCTCTCGGCCGCAAAACATGACGGAAGCCTTTTTCTCGTCTGGATATCGGGGCGCAAAGTTCAAGGAGAACACTATTAATAAGACTCACCTAGATGCGCCCCTTTAAACTGCCCAAATACCAAGGAAAGGTTAGGGGCGAAGCGACCCGAGCATGTCCAGATCCATATTTCCAGCTCCAGTTGCACTTTCCTGTAACAAAGGTGTATTGTGAATGGGACAGGGCAACACGTGACTGCGATGGTTAATAAAGGCGGCCCGGAGCGCTCAATAATGACGTCAGGGGTTTTCGAGTATATTGAAAACGGCGGAAACGGACAAAATTGATTCGAAAGATGTCGGGCTGGGTTTTGAATACAGTGGAATGAAAACACATACGTTATATTCTGCGATGTACATCAGTGGTTTTTTTGACGCATTTGGTTTCACTAGATGAAGTCTGAACTCAGATTTTCTTTCTTACCATGACCCATATTTTTAGTTTTCATTAATGCAAAGTTCAAAGGTTGTTCCCTTATTGCGAGAAATTGCCAGCGTACCCTCCAAAGTTCACGTTTAATAAAAATTGAAGATTTCGTTTTGAAATTACAGACACACAAGATCCGTAAATTCTGCTGAAAGGAAGTGTTGGGCGTCATAAGCTCCGCCTTTCATCTCACATACAATGAGATGATTCGTTACAGTAAGAAGTGGGTGGGCGGGGCTTAAATATTTTCCATAAAGTTTAGAACTATAGATAGCAGATACCAATTCTCACATTATATACATGTTAAACATCTCCGAACCTAAACTATTAGAATTTATTTAGTAAAAAAAATTTACACCCATCGTTTTTTTTCCTTTTTTTAAGAACCGAATCCCACCCACCAACCTCTTCATTCTTATAAAAGAATGTATAAAAAGCTATACTCAGCCCCACCCACTCACCCGTTCTCCAATTTTATTCTTCTGAAATAAGAAATAAATCTTACAGCAAATAGTATACCCAAAAAATTAATAGGGTGGGTGGGTGGGTGGCGCTAGTATTTGTTGTGATAAAACTAATTTTGGTGAATGACTGAACAATATTAAGAGTAGTTACTGGCATAACTTAATAAATATTATCTAGTCTCAATGAAAGGTGGACCCTATACCGAAGAGAAATAAAATCGTTAGAATGAGAACAACGCGGGTGGGCAAAGGTAGTAACTATCTGCTAAGGTAAGACTGAATTTGGTAAATGTATATCCTTTAAAAAAATAAAGGGTGGGTGGGTGGGGCTAGTACTTGTTAAGATAAGACTGATTGTGGCAGATGACATACCTCTAACAAAATAGAGGGCGGGTGGGCGGGGTTAATATTTGCTAAGATAAGACAAATTTTGGCAAATGGTTTACCTTCTAAGAACATAGAAGATCGGGCTAGAAGTTGCCAAGATAAAACTGAACAATATTAAGAGTAATCACTGGAATAAAGAGGGGGTGGGTGGGCGGGGCTATTGTTTGTTTTTGGAATCAGCACGTCAAGATCTATAACCCTGAATTTTTTGAGAATTTTTAGGCGACTTTTTTAGTAAATGACATACCTTCTAAGAAAATGAAGGGTGGGTGGGCGGGGCTAATCTTTGCTAAGTTAAGACTGATTGCTGCAAATAACATATCTCCTAAGAAAACAGAGGGTGGGTGGGTGGGGCTAGTACTTGCTAAGATAAGACTGATTGTGGCAAATGACATAACCTTTAACAAAATAGAGGGCGGGTGGGCGGGGCTAATATTTGCTAAGATAAGACTAATTTTGGCAAATGGTTTACCCTCTAAGAACGTAGAAGATCGGGCTAGAAGTTGCCAAGATAAGACTGAACAATATTAAGAGTAGTCACTGAAATAAAGAGGGGGTGGGTGGGTAGGGCTATTGTTTATTTTTGGAATCAGCACATCAAGATCTATATCCCTGAATTTTTTAAGAATTTTTAGATGACTTTTCCAAAAATGAAATTTTCCGCTTTGTACATATACCCTAACCTAACCCCGCCCTCCCACCCCGCCCCTATTTCAGTGATTCATTTAATCTGCCTTCAATGAAAATTGTATCTTATTGTGAACAGAAATAAAATCGTTAGAATGAGAACAGGGCGGGTGGGCGGGACTAGTACTTACTAAGATAAGAGTAATTGTGAGCAATGTCATAACCTTTAAGAAAATAGAGGGCGGGTGGGCGGGACTAGTTTTTGTTGAGAATAGACTGATTTTGGTAAATGACTGAAGAATATTAGGAGTAGTCAATGAAAAAAAAACAAACTTAGTCCCGCCCACCCACCCGTTCTTTAATTTTTTTCTACTGAAATAAGAAATAAATCTTATAGTAAATAGTATACCAAAAAAATTACAATGAGCACTTTTTTATTTTTTTTTTAACGGCCTACGTTCTATTAGTTCCAATTTCTACTCTACGAAAGAACATGTAATTAACCCCGCCCACCCACACCGCCTCCATCTCAGTGACCCATTTTATCCAGTCAGAATGAAACAAGGATCTTATACTGAACAGAAATGAGATCGTTAGAATGACAACGGGGTGGGTGGGCGGAGCTAGTACCTGCCAAAATAAGACTGATTTTAGTAAATGACATACCTTCTAAGAAAATGAAGGGTGGGTGGGCGGGGCTAATCTTTGCTAAGATAAGACTGATTGCTGCAAATAACATACCTTCTAAGAAAACAGAGGGTGGGTGGGTGGGGCTAGTATTTGCTAAGATAAGACTAATTTTGGCAAATGGTTTACCCTCTAAGAACCTAGAAGATCGGGCTAGAAGTTGCCAAGATAAAACTGAACAATATTAAGAGTAATCACTGGAATGAAGAGGGGGTGGGTGGGCGGGACTATTATTTGTTTTTGGAATCAGCACGTCAAAATTTATAACCCTGAATTTTTTGAGAATTTTTAGACGACTTTTCCAAAAATGAAATGTTTCGCTGTGTATATAGACCCTAACCTAACCCCGCCCACCCACCCTGTCTCCCTTTCAGTGATTCATTTAATCTGCTTTCAGTGAAAACTATATCTTATAGTGAACAGAAATAAAATCGGTAGAATGAGAACAGGGCGGGTGGGTGGGGCAAATAGTATACCGCAAAAATATGACTATTAACAATTTTTTTTCTTTTTTCTTAACAGCCTACGTTCTATTAGTTCCTGTTCCCACATTACAAAAAACCATATAACAATTAATATCGCCCACCCACCCCATCACCCTTTTAGGGAATCATTTTTATCTAGTCTGCCTGAAAGGTGGTTTTATAGTAAACACTTCAATTTTCCAACTTTTGAATTTTTCAATTTTTAGATTTCGCAATGCGATTTGATGAATTACTAGAGTTTTAATATCTCAGTTTTTGGATTTGCAACTTTTCGTTTGGGTTTTTTTTCAATTATTCGATTTTATTTTTTGTTTCGGTTTATTTTCTTATTTTTTCAATTTTTCAGTTGTTCAATGTTCTGATTTTCTTAATTATTTTTCAATTCTTGGATTTTTCAATTTTTCGATTTGCAATTTTTCGGTTTTCAATGAAATTAAGGTCAAAAAATCGAAAAATTTGCTACATTTTACAATTCAATGGCTTTCCAATTTTTCGATTCGATTCATTTTCTCTTATTTCCAATTTTGATGCATGAATTTTTTTCGATTTTTAGTTTTTCAGTGTTTCGATTTTCAACTTTTCGATTTTTTAATTTTTGGTCTCGTTTTTTATTTTCATTATTTTCACAGTTTCTGGATTTGCCAATGTTCCGAACTTAATTTTATATTTTCAATTTCATTTTGTTCAATATTTCGCTTTGCAATTTTTCAATTTTTTTTTTTTGTTTATTAAATTTTACGATGTGCTTCTCTTCGAGTTTTCATTTTTCAATCCTAGATTTTTCAGTTTCTAATTTCTTGAATTTTTTTATTTTCAATTGTTCGTTTCCGTTTTTTATTTTCAATATTTCGTCAATTATTTGACTTTTCAATGTTTCGATTTTATAATTTTTTGTTTTTTCATTTTTTCAATTTTCAGATTTTGAAATTTTTCGATTTTTCGATGTTCCGACTTTTTTCAATCTCCTATTTTCCAATTTTTATTTTTTTTTGTTTCTTCAATTTACGATATGTATCATACTTTTCGAGTTTTCATGTAAAAATTTTTCAGCTTCTCAACTTTCCAACTTACGAATTTTTCAATTTTTAGATTTTTCAATTTACCAGTTTTCAATTTTTCAAGCTGCAGTTTTTCGCTTCGGTTTATTTTCTTTATTTTTTCAATTTTTTAGTTTTTCGATGTTCTGATTCTCTAATTTTTCTTTTTTCAACGTCAAATGCTCCAATTTTTAGATTTTTATATCCTTGGGGTTGCAATTTTTCCCTTTTCAATTCCTTGATTTTTCACCTTTCAGAGTTTTAATTTTTAGTTTTTTAATCATAGATTTTTAAGTTTTTAGTTTTTTTAATTTTTGATCAGCTATTTTTGTAGTTCTCATTTTAAATGTTTATCTAATAATAATAATTACAATTTAAAAAATGTTTCGCTTGTTCAATTTTATGATATTAGAATTTTTCCATTTTTCAATTATTGGATTTTTTAATTTTTGATTTTTAGATCTTTCAATGTTACAGTTTTACGACTTTCTTCGAAAATTTTGACGATTGCATAATTTTCCGATTTTCACAATTTTTGGGGGTCCATTTTTCGATTTATCTTCTTTCCAATTTTTCGATTCATTAATTTTTTGTCGATTTTTTCTTTGTTCAGTTGTTCTGTTTGCAATTTTTCGATTTTCCACTTTTCCATTTTGCAATTTTTCTGTTTAAAATTTTTCGAGTTTTCAATTTTGAAAATTTCAATTTCTTGATTCTTTAATTTTTCATTTCTTCAAGTTTTCGATTTTCAGTTTTTGCTTTCGACTTTTTGTTTTCTTTATTTTTACAATTTCTCTATTTTTTATTGTCCCATTTTATATTTTTTTGTTTTTTCAATTTTAATTTTTTTAGTTTTTCGTTTTTTCAATTTTTCGATTAGCAATTTTTCAGTTTTTTTTTGCTTTTTCAATTTTTAGATTTTGCTATTTTTCAATTTTTCGTTTGTAATTTTCGATTTCCGATTTTTCAAGTTTTATTTGTTTTTGTTTTTAATTTTACGATAGACATCTTATGGAGTTGAATTATATTCCTATTTTTA